GGAGTAATCGTTCACCTAACGGCACCCATCACGGTGTTCCAACTGTTTCGTTTACAGAGGGTGTTCAACCACCACGGGTGGCTTCTGTGCTGTGGACTAAATTTGCGAAATCAACAAGTGACTAGAGGGTGACCGTGAATATGCCTTCTCACATGTTTTTACGCATAACATACTCTGAGAGTTATCTGAGATCAGCTGATGTTGGGTTAAATACCGAGGCGCAGATGGTATCTGAGAGTATACTTGGGGTGGCTTAATAGACACGTTGGATTAGATTGAGAGCAGTAAAGTGCCTCGGCTGGGACTGGACATGCTCATACTGGTTACAAATAACTACTTAATTTGAAAAAGTAGCAGCTATATGCGGGGAAAATAGAACTGATAGGACAGAAGAACTTGCCTGGGTACTGAATACAGGACGCTTAATTGTCAAGGTAGAGATAAATTATCATCCTTATCCATCCTTCCCACAATATTTATTCCTATATAAACGGAAAAAAACCCAGCGAACTGACGCACCTCGGATCTGGAATTTCAGTAGTTCACCAGCAACGATTGTATGATCAACCAGCGGCCGAGTGATGCGAGCGCCAATTTCTGCAGTCATTGCAAGCGCAGTATCACGAGATGATCGTCTGACTGTGGGTCCAGCTGATGAATGGTAAAGAAATGAAACTGAATACCACACGTACCGGGAGGGCGACAAAGCAAATGGAGAAGCATATAAACTTACCAAGAACGCGTAGATTGGCGGAGTCGTTGACTATGCCGAACCGACCGTAGAAGGTAACAGAGTAGGTCCCTGAATCATAGACGCTCGTGCTGCGCACGCGAAGAGTGGCTTCGCCTGTGCTAGTGTCGAACTCGGCTGAGTACTTACTACCCAACCGGCCAACACTGTGCAGATCAATCTCGCGACCATTTACTGCCCAGACAACTTTGACATCAGTGAGACTCGTCTGGTCTCCAGTTCTGCCTGGGCGGTAGGACGGTGTGAGTACACAGGTGAGGACGGCATCCTTGCCCTCGGAAACTTCAGTGTTGACCAGCGGCACGGCAATCTGTGGCGCCCGACCGCGGGCACGCAGAAGGACGTTAAAGGTCACCTCGTCTTCGCCAAGTCCATCGAGCTCACTGAACTCGGCGTAGCTCCAAC